CAAGTTGATGAAACAGGATATCAACAGTTTCGTTTAAATCAACACATCGCAAGTTCTATGACGAAACAATGACTTGATATAATCTATCATTAAGTCGAATGCTGACTGACGTTTTTCATACTTATTGTTAGGCCATTATTTACACACTGCATTGGCTACGGATTTTAGCGTTTGCCATCATGAAAAGGAGCACACGGAGGGTGCGACCGGTCGATAGGAGATGCTAACTCCTCCATAGCACCTGATCCCAGCTCTGATATTTTTAGAGGTCCGTGTATTGTTTCAATGGACTTTTGAGCTTGATTACTGTTCGTTATCTCCATATTTCATGATATACTTGTACATGTGAAAAATTTACGCCAATATTATTTCAAAAGTTGCCCTTGAATTGAAATGATTAGGAATATCAATTAATTTTCTTTCAAATTATTGTCTTCAATACAGCTCTAGCTCTTTAAATTAATTAATTCGAATCTCAATGGATCCAACCGCATATGTATAATTGCAGAACTGCAAGTTACCATTCCGGCATACTACATGTACGAAGGGTGATCAAAATGTTTGCGAACTAATTGAATTACTTCCTTAAAAGAAATAAAATGAGGTTCCAGTGTTCATTATTTTTTAAAGTAGTCCTCTCCGATTTTAATGCACATCAGCCATTGTTCTGTCCATGCGCGAATCACGTGATCCAGGCGGTCACGTGACATGCTCCGTAGCGGTCTGTTCACAGAAGCTAAGAGATTTTTCCGAGTCTTATATTTCTTACCATGCAAATTATTTATTATAACAAGAACAGACCATCTGTCAGAAATGGCCAAATCTCGGCAATAATATGGTGGATAAGGATATCCCTTCCCAGAATTAGCATGGTGACCATCACAACCCGATTTCTCTGTCTCGGGAGCGTCGTTTATCCAATGTGGAAAAAGTATGGGCGCCTTCTTTTTTTTCATATCTCATATGTTTAAAGTCTAAAGTAAACGATATTTTAGGGATTTAATAATTATATTATTGTTCCGATATTCAACTATTTTTCTAATTGCAACTTGGCGATCTTTCAAAACAAAATTGCTCAACTAAGGACACATCTTTTTACCGGCTTGCTTTCGCTGGGCAACAGAACAAACATCATTTTTAACCATCTCTCTGCCTTCACTAAAACAATCAATCCAATTAATGATTGAACTTCTGGTAAGTCTTTTGTCTTCATAAACCTTGTACAAATTATCATATTCTAGTGCAAAGGAATTTCCGAAATATACGTTAAACTTTACAGCCGTTCGTTGCTTGAGTACGACTGTGTCAACCATTTTTTGACACAAGTCACCTATACATTGACATCATTTTCACATTGTGACGTCACAAACACGGAGCAAAACATTATATAACATCTGCTATTTATAGAACATGTGTATGACTATATGTGTGCCAAATTTCATTCTAATCTGAATTGTGGTTTTGTAAATATAGAGATAGTTCGCGAACTTTTTGATCACCCCTCGTACTTTACTATGTCGATCAGTGGTGTTTTAACCCGAAATTCGAATTCTAACTAACGCAAGACAAGAAATAATCCTATCTCAAAAAACCATCTCAGACTTCACATAACAGTAGTTAAAAACAGGAAAATTCAGAAAAGGCGTCAGAGGAAATGCTGTCAATTCAGACGCAACTAACTGAAATAAAAAACGATCTAAAATTTTTCAAAGATTCATCAGTAAACAGTGTAGAAGTTCTGTACACAGTTCAAGCTCTAAAAATAATGGTGACTGCTTACTTTGTGAATTATTTGATAGCATTATTCCGTTATATACCATGTGTCGTTCTAATCTTTAAAAAGCTGAAATTGTCTGGATAAATTTTAGAAAAAGACCATTTAATGATATTTTGCGCAAATTTGTCTTGTCGCATGACAAGACTTTTATCTCTGACAAGTATATTATTATTATTTATTTGTTATTTATGTTCAAATTTAATTTTTCACCGATTTTGAGCTTGAATAACCTCACGTTTCTATAATTAAATTGACTTTAAATTTGTCTGTTATTTAAATTTGGACTCGGTAAATAAATCGGTTATTGTTTTAAATTTTGAATTTCTTTGAACCGCGAATGATTTTAAGGGAGCCGACTGGGGTTTTATTGTGTGAAAACTACTATAGAGAAACTCTTTAATTTTATACCATATGTACCTTACATTGACTCTAGCATACATGCCAAGTTTAGTGAAAATCTACCGTCTGGTTATTTTTAGGGAGCATCTCAAAATACAGGTACATGTACTATAGGATTATATAGAAAAAAACTATTTTTTCGCACTTCGGAGCAAATTATACAAATACTACTATAGACCTTTTGCTCAAATTATATTATTTGATGAGTAGTACTATATTGTACATTTTATGCAAGAAACACAGCGTTATACAACATGTTTCTTTTGTTCCATAGAATTTGCCGGCGTTAATAACATTTCGGTTTTGAAAACTTTTTAATTTATTGTATTTTCTGAAATGGAACAAAAGGGTTTCATCGCAATGGGCAAAATTTTGAAATTCAAATCATTCGAATGAGATGAATTTTACAGTGTAAAAAGGTGTTGTCTATTATTCAAACGAAGGACGGAATACACAGATCTTTCAAAAAATAATTTGACAACTTAGCTTTCTTAGGAATATTTATTCTTATACGAAAAAGAAGTAATTCTTTAAAAAGAAAAGGTTCAAACAACCATATGCTCATGAAAACAACTTCCATTACGTCAAAAAGAGTTTGGTTTTAGAAGAACCTTTTTTAAGAAAAGGGGAAACATCGTACATGCGCATTTCATACATATTTTATCTCCTGAGTTAAATGCTGAATACTCGCATCTTCTGAGCTCAGCTGATTCACAATTATAGTTAAAATTCCCAAACCACCCTTCGTAGATTTAACTGGGCGGTGAAAATGTAGGTCGATCAAATAACGAAATGGACATACCTACACAGAATGTAGAAACTTTAACAAGCTCCAATGGGAACAAACCTTGTTCAAATGGAATATTGTTGAGATTTAACAACATTTAAAAAAAATAGCCTTGGAAATCTGGGATCCTATATCATAGAGTTTAGATGAATATTCACTACTGTTTCCCATCCTGACTATATGGAATACATGATAACAGACGCGATTCATTTGTTATATGATAAAGTTGATGATTTTTAACTATCACTAAAAAGATGAGGGTGTCGTTTTATGTGACGAAAGAAACAAAGAATTAAACACGTCCAATTTAACTTCGTCGAAGAATTCCAGGAGTGGAGCCAAGAGAGAACCCCAGGTTTTAACTCCTCTTTTCACCCCCTTCCCCCTTCCTTTCTTTTTCCCCTTCCTTCAATTATCTTCCTCCTTCAATTCGTACTACCCTCTTTATTTCTACAGATAAATGTTCTAACGGAGTCATGAAATACGCCTTTCTGTCGTTAAAGACTTTTTTTTTTATTGAATATCCATCCCCATTTACTAGTATTACCACCTACACTCATTTTTGTTTGTTTGTTAGAAACAACAGTACAGGTTTTATCCAATTCATATAGGAAAGGTTAATGAAAACTAATCAGTTTACAGTTGACTGATCAGTTGACCGGGGAAAAAATACATTTAGAGAGATACCATGATTTGTTCTATCAGATTCTCTACTAGTACTGCACAATTTAGCAAATTCCTCGGCCTGCTTCATCAAAGAAATGTCGTTTTGTCGATAGAAGGATGTTATTGAGGACCTTCAGTTTGAGGCGTCTCTTCTACTGAACAATTTCGAAACCTCGAACACCCATAGGTGATTTTCTTGAGAATGGGTAATTTTTAATTCACATGATTTCTTAAATCATCATGCGTGTTTGTTTCCTATATAGCATTGTTTCAAAAATATTTCGGCAGCATTATTTTTTGGCTAACATTAACATGATTGATTTGTTATATCAAATTCATCAAATCATTTATCTAACAACTAGTTCTATACTCATCTGGAGAAAAACATCATTGGAGGACAGTAGCAACTGAAACACAAAGATGCGGTGGAAAATCCTATTGTAGTTGTTAATCAATGAAGAATGGGTGATACTTTACTTTTGCTTGAAAAAAATAATAGAGGTGCATTAAAGAAAGCAGTGACTAGAAATTACAAGCAATGTGGACTAATCCCAACGTAGAGATTATTTATTACTAGGTGATTATTCCAAGATGGCGAACTGTTTATCTATGATATAAATAGGAAATGTCCTCTAGAATTTAGTGTCTTAAAATATCACTCAAATTTTATTTAGATTGGGATTTTAATAAGTGTTGCCTTTATTTTGAAATCAATATTAATTTTCTTGGTGCCGCAATAGACTTCTTTAATTCTTAGCCAAAAGCCTGTCAACCGTACAGTTATGTCTTCACTCCTTTATACACGTATAGAGTTAAATGTTAGTACACTGTCTCGTTTTTAAAAACAACTTGTAAACACTTGAACATAGTTGAATTTTGAACAAACAATCAAGTACATGTTTATGATTGACTGTCCTCTTAGATAAGTGCATACTCCTATGGATGGGATAATTTCGATTTACAGCTATATATACATATTAATATGTCCAATATCTTATCTAATTCTTAAGAAATTTACAACAGCTGCAATTTTTAAAGCATTATGCAATACTTCTAAGTTTTAACAGGAAAACATTATAATGAGAAATTTTTAAACGATAGACTCTGAATCACTGGTGAGCTACTTTTGCGCCAACAAACTCAGTTTCAGTTTCTATAAAAAAAAAATTATAGGTAAGATATTCTGGGGTCATGATAGTTTTGTTATGCAGGTCTCCTTAATAAGAAGTATTTTATAAATATGGATCCAGATCATTTTCAGAATACGTGTTTAGTCATGGTCCCGAGAAGAACAGGAAGTAAGTCGTATATATAAGGTGCATACGTTCTGATTAAATAATCGGAAAGGAAAGTATCGTCCTCGATGGTTCACGATCACTAAAATAAGCTTCCTGCTCAAAATGGCTGGGTTCCTGAGTATTGCTTGTATAGTTTCCTCATGGATCTTGCTCTTTCAGATATCAGGTGGCACAGGTAAAATTTAAAAACTTTATTAAATTTTTTTTAAGTTAGGCTTCTGTGCCTTGTATTTTTCGTGTATATATTTCGATAAATCATACTATGATAAATCATTCATTGGTGCTAAATAAAAATTCTTAGCACCGATGAATGATTTATCACAGCGAGATTTATCGAAATATTTACACATAAAATACAAATTGTCTTGGGCTTCTGTGCCTTTTTAAAACATTTTATAACTGATGCTAAAACAGATAGCTATTCACATCGTGTCGTTGTTGTACTTGTTGCACATTTCCCTAAGCGGTGCTTGTTGTAGCAATCGTTGTTTTTACATAGTAAACACAATTTTGGAATCTAAAATATCTTCATGTAGCTAGTTTCCAAAAAAGAAATTTGACCTCTATCCCCAGCAAGAAACAAAAACTAAGTCATTATTTGCCTGATCAAAACAAGAAAGATACTTAAATCATTTAATTATATGCAATAGATATAAAAATAATTAGACAGCGTTTCATAATTCTAGCTATGTATATACTAAACCGTGGTACACTAAACCCCTGCTGATTGGAACTCATTCCTTAGAAAGGAAGTGGTTATGATAACTTTGTAATTATACGACTCACATACTCTTTACACTCACAGCCGAGTCTATCACCACAGAACTTGAACCAGTATTCGAGGACGACACTCTGAGATTCATACAGAACTCTGTAAAGGGTAGTTGCAAGTGTTCAAGCACTACCTGTGGATGTTGCCAGACAGTATCCGTACTACACGAGAGGAAGGATGGTAATTATTTCATTTTTTTTTTTCGCCATTGTAAGAAACATTAATACGTATGCAAAAGGTTGTTTGATTATATTTTTGATTTCACCTTTCATTCCTGGAAGCAGAATTATAAGTACCTTCCTATAGCTCTGATTCTTTCACATATTCTGTTCTCTATCTGGATTAGGTAAAGATACAACATTTGTAAAGACAGAGAGATACAACATTGCAAAGAAAAAGTAAAGAAAAGAAATGCTTCCTGGTCTTAGTAGTATTTCCATACTAATACGTCATTTAGGGTTATATAACATATGTACATCTGTACTTACTCTTTTGATTATATTTATAGTGTGCATCAACGTGAAGTATTTGAAAAAAGAAATAGGAGTCCTTTTGACGGTGACATGGGGTGGAAAAGTCATTTACAGCAAGGAAGTATCAGGTGGGAAAGTGTACATGTTATTTGTCATTGTAAACCGGTAACTTCCCTAATTGTTCTAAATTGATTGTGTATCGAGAGATATACGTCCCAATCTATGATTTCCTGTTACTGAGATTTAAATCAAACAATTGGAAATAATTTATTGCAGATACACATAGACAAATGTAGTACAATTAATTGTCCTCGCATAAGGAAATAATTTATAACTTGTTCTAAAGTTTAAATATTAAGAGGTACTTATCTTTTAAGCTTAAAATAAGTTTGCATGTAACGATGACATGATTGTACATTTTGTTTCTGCTTTTTTATTTAGTCCAGAACCCTCCAGCTGTTTGTTTGAAAGTTCCATTGTTGAAAAAGGTTGGAAAACTTTGCATCCAATTGTACAACATGCATGTTGGAGGGGACGGGCTGTCTGGATGCTCGAGAATAACCCTCAAGGTTGCTTTCATAAAAGTCATCAAACTTGACCTTGGATGCTTCAAAATTCCTTTTGCCAACGATGAAATCAAGTTGGGAGAAGCTCCTTGGAATAAGGAACTGATGAAAACCAATGATGAGCGTAGCCCTTTGCTGAACTACTTTCGCTACATGACGAAGCACATTCAAAATGATGAAAATGAATTGTATGAGGTCCTCATGCGGGAGATTATGGAAGAGGACACTCATTATTAAGGAGAGAAAGGATGGAGACTTTCATCTCTTCCTAATTTTTCTCGAATTTCTTTTACTTATGTGAAAATCAAGCTTTAGACACTTTTATATACATGTTGCACATTGCCAAAATCTGAATGAGAGTTAAAATCTCTTGAGAGACTAAAATTTTTATAAGCTATAGACAAGAGAGAGGGAGAGAGAGAGAGAGAATCCAATTGTCAAATGAAAATAAATACTTGTAGTCATTAAACAAAATTGGGAATAAAACTGTTTTAAAAGATTTTATATTTGTCTAAAAGTGTAAATTTTAACATAAAAGAAATTTTATAAAAGTGAAACACATTTTCTAATAAGGCATTTCTTTGCTGCCTCGATTTTTTTTTCAGCTTGGAAAGAAAGATATTCTATGAAATCACTAGTTTTCTTTGTGGTTTAATTTTCGTTGTTTTTGGTGATTTGAAGGGACCCACGTATCCATGTCCTCCACGAACTGTAAAATTTTAAATTTGTCACAACGTTGCATTTCTTCAACCTCGAAATCAAATCTGCTTGAACGTACATTGCCTGAACTTTTATAGAAAATTATCCTTATAATCAATGATTTACTTAAAAGAATAATTAAACAATGTTTTATTTAAAATGATAGCTTAATAACCAGGACCCCAAGGTCATAAAGAAATTTCAACTTTGTACGTTGTCGTAAGGTTTTATATTAGAAAACACATAAAATTGAAATTTTATTAAACTTGTTTCTTTATTATGTTGTTATTTTTTAAATTCTCAAGTGTCAGGTTATAATAAATATTAATTTTATGAAGGATTGAAATTATAACTTATGTGTAAGATTTCTTCATAATCCTGGGGCCAGGTACCTACATGTATATATAAGTAGTAGCATACTGGTCCTTGTTTTTTTTAGTAGTCTAGGTAATAACGAGTAAGTATACTAATTCAACATAGATCGTAGTTCTAAAATCTTGCCGTCTATTTTTTGAGATCGTTACATAAATTTAAATTGAATTCTTCCTATTTATATTAAAAACACAATTTAAATACGTCAAGAATTTAATAAATTGCAAAACAATTGGTCTTAGTTATAAGTTCTTTTGTTAAATGCGGAATATAGTCTGACATTCTTTCGTAAGATGGCAGTAATTCTTTACAAGAAGATTTTTTAAAATAATTTTCTTCATTTTTTTTTCTTTTATGTCAGTTTTGAATATTTTTAATATTCCAAACAACCAAAATGAATTCGAATTACCATATTTATATTGGATTCCGAAACTTCATAAAAATCCTTACAAACAAAGATACATAGCGGGTTCCAGTAAATGTTCAACCAAGCCTCTATCTTTACTCCTCACTAAGATATTAACAGTGGTGAAGGAGAAACTTCAAGAGTACTGTGTAACAATATATTCGAGAAGTGGTGTAAATCAGATGTGGATACTTAAAAATTCCAAGGAACTTTTGGAAAAATTTGAAATCACAAGATTTTACCAAAATCAACAGCTTAAAAACTTACGACTTTTCAACTTTATACACAACCATTCCCCTAGATAAATTAAAGTCCAGGCTTTCTGATATCATTGACAGCTGCTTTTTCAATAAAAATGGAACTCGTAAATATACTTACCTTGTCATTGGTCATTTGCAAAATTATTTTGTTAAAAAACACTCTGATTGTACACACAAGTACTCTGAAGTTGACATTAAAAAGATGCTTGAGTTTCTGATTGACAATATCTATGTGGTTTTTGGAGACCAGGTCTTCCAACAATCTATTGGAATTCCTATGGGTACCAATTGCGCCCCGTTATTAGCAAACCTTTTTTTGTATTCATATGAAGCAGAATTTGTCCAAAATCTTGTACGTGAAAAGAAGAAAACACTTGCTGTGGCGTTCAACTCGACATTTAGATATATCGACGACGTATTGTCAATTAACAATGGCTATTTTCATTCTTATGTCGATACGATATATCCTGGTGAACTTGAGATAAAAGATACCACAGAGTCTGACACATCTGCTTCATATTTGGATATTTTACTTGAAAAAGACGTTAATGGTAATCTAACAACCAGGCTTTATGATAAACGTGATGACTTTAACTTTTCAATCGTCAACTTCCCTTACTTATGCAGCAATATACCTTCATCAACTGCATACGGGGTATATATCTCTCAGTTGATTCGATACGCAAGAGCATGCTCTACGTATGTACAATTTCTAAAACGAGGTAAATTATTGACAAATAAGTTGATGAAACAAGAATATCAGCTGTCTCGTTTAAAGTCATCATTTCGTAAGTTCTATGGTCGATACAATGACCTTGTCAGCAAATACAATTTATCATTGAGTCAAATGCTGACTGACGTTTTTCATACTAATTGTTAGGCCATTATTTACACACTGAATTGTCGACGGATTTTTCCGTTATTTCCCGATCATGACAAGGAGCACACGGCGGGTGTGACCGGTCGGCAGGGGATGCTCACTCCTCCATGGCACCTGATCCCACCTCTGATGTTTGGAGGTCCGTGTTTGCTCTGCTCCTATTTTATATTGTATAATGGACTTTTGAGCTTGAATACTGTTCGTTATATCCATATATTTCATGCTATCACTTTCAAACAACACTATAATGGTTACTCCACTTCCTCTCTAAACCCCGAGATTCTTCCTTATTACACCCTTTGAATGTACCGACATTCGGTAATTTCAAAAAAAAATGTTATATTATAAAAACAACACAAAATTCTAAATATGCAAATCATTCATTTGGTATCTTAAAGTTTGATCGAGATTCTAAATATGCATATCACTCACAGTCTTAAAGTTTGAACACGTGGTTCTGTTTGGGGACTGGATTGGTTTGTTTCTTCGCAAATTAAGTTACAAATGAGTGAATTATTTCCTTGAAAGCATTATACCCTCTTCCAAGTTGATGCTTATCATTAATGTATAAAAGAGACCTTTACCACCAGCCATCATATTCATTGAGTTGCCGTCAACGTCTTTGTCGACAAGGAAAATGATAGTAGTCGTGTTGCTCGCTTTTGCTTTTCTTTGCTCTGCTGGACAAATAAAAGCAGAAGGTAAGATTTATAACCAATTTTCCGAAATTTTCTTGACATGTACTTTGGCCGATACAATTTCATAAGAATTTATCTACTTAATACGTTAAGCGTAAATAACGTAAACTAGATATGACTGATCAATCCATATGGTTTCTACAGACATAATGTCAAAATATGTTGCATGAAGATGTACTTTAATATATCATGTGTCTCAGCTGAAAAGGCGAAAACAATCTTTAGGACCACTTTTACACTGACACTGAAGAATTCAATGATTTGAATTGATCTGAACTTGAATAAAACAAAATTTACGGAGTTTAAATAAATTCCATAATTTTAATGATTATTAAATAAGACGAAGGTGAGGTAAAATTTAACGAATAACTAAATTGTATATGTTTTCCTTATTGAAGTAAGTAACATTGATCCTTTTCATCAATATTTTGTTGTCTTTGGACATTTTTCCTAGGGAAAAATAACAGGTAGCCTGTATTGAAAATGTAGTTAATCAGTTCAATGTTTTCACATACATGGGATAATTTTCTCAAGGTTCATAATTTTTTTTTTCATTATTATATAGAGGACCCTTAATTACATGTAAGCATAATTCTAACATCCTTTTCCTATTTTCAATAAAAACTATTAAGTAAATAATTTCTTCCCTCTCATTTTGTGTTTAAACATTGATCAATCATATAAACTTACGACCGCTTGTTCATTAAATTAGTAATCCTTATTTCACTTCTTTGAAATAAATTTGCTTCATACTTCAATTTATTTGTATTTCACATTTTTCAATAAAATCAAATGACCGCCAATGTTCATTTTGTAAATCGTTTACAAGACTTAGACCAAACATTTAATTTTTTTATTTGTTATTTTCTAAGTAGAATACTCCTTTCTTAATAATTTTGTTTACTTATTTTTTTTTAGGTCAAGTTGATCTTGTAAAGGAGGGTCGTCTTTTAGGAGCATTGCTTGAGGGCAACTTTGTTGGTGATGGGTGCACATGTTCAAAAAATTCATGCTCTTGTTGCAAGGCTGTCACGTGGCAGTCTATCACAAAAACAAGTGAGTATTAAAAAAAATCTACTAAAACATTTCTTTAAAAATAAATTTATTCATTTGTTCAAGTTTAGAAAATTCTAGAAATGGACATGTAAAATTTTTAAAAAATGGATTTCTTTCTTTTTTCTCAATTGATTTTTTGTCTAGTTTTCAGTCTGCTTTATTGATATAAACCAATTATGATTTTTTTTATGTTAAATGTTCAATTTCAGTATGTGGTGATATTACATACACCTCTCAGTCAAAACAATTTTCCATCGCTCTCAGTGCAGACAAAACACCGTTAATGAACCTGCAAGTAACAGGTATTGTAAACTTAGCACTTCTCAGTTTATATAGTTTATATATATATAAACCAGTAATAGATATTTCTCATCCTATATCTGGAAATAATTAACTTTTGTTTGAACATTTTGTAAAATTTATTTATACATGTAAATATTTGACACCCGTACTGGAACTACTGTCAGGAACCTGTACAAAGGTCATTTTAACAAGCTCAATATATATATATATATATATATATATATATATATATATATATATATATATATATATATATATATATATATATATATATATATATATATATATATATATATATATACATGCTCGGGGTACATGTATATATTCTTCACAAACAGGCCCCGTTTGATTTATTTCATATGATCAAGTGTACTTTTCAAATGCCAGTTAAATTGTTTTAAAGTAGTGGGCTGGTAGTGTTTTATGCATTTGAGGCTAACAAAATACAATTTTCTTTCAACTGAGAGAGAAGGATTTTGATTTTGTGCGTTTGGGTAATAATGTTAAACAATATATAAATCTTAAAGGCCGTTAACCAAGTGAAAAGTGTAGGCTAAAGTATCATTCCAATGGGTACAAAATTTCATTAAAATATATATATATTTTTGTTGGTTTAGTTGACAATCCGAAAGCATGCAAAGACGTGACTGTGCAAGGCCATACCGTCAATGTTTGCGCAGAAATCGCCAATATCAAGACTGAATCTGCAGACATCAGTGGCTGCCTAAACTTGGCAGTTACTATGATGCAGACATACAACGTAGACCTCGGCTGCTTCAAGATGCCTTATTCCATGAACGGGAAACTTCTGTTCTGGGGAAACAATGGAAAATAAAGGAGGAAAATTTTAGTATTGAAACAAAGCTGGGAAGACTTAACCTAAAATATATGCAAGATTTATTGGCCACCTCCTTTGTTCGGTTTCCAAAAGCGATATGATATACATAATAGCTGATTTTTTTTCCTTTCCATATTGTCCACAATGATAGCGTTGTTTTTACGAATAACTCTTCTGACTATATCTATGAAAATAACATTTCTAAACAAGTTAACTACCCTATTATAGTGAATTTTTGTCAATAAAATATATTTTTCTTCCTTATTGCTTTTATGTCCGTAATCTAAAGGATGAAAGTCAATACAGCACGGAAGTATCGGATTGAATTACCAGGTATTTAAATGTTATTAATAGAAACTAGCAAATTTCCTTACTTAATGTACATAAATTGTATATGGAGAGATGTACGATAAGTTCTTTTTCCTGTAAGGAATGTGTTAGTTATTCAGCGGAGGAAATGTGTTCAAGTTAGATCAAAGCACTCTGCAAGGCACAGGTGTTGAATGATACAATTATTTGGTAGAGGTGATTTGAGTTGTTGAAACTGGTTTAAACTTTAATATTATTGCAATAATATGGAAATTGAAATATTTTTAAGAGGGCTGGGTGGTTGTGGTTATTTTCAGACTATATTGATCTCCTTTAGAAGAAGAGCTCCATGTAAAGATATACAAAATGATCAAATTTTAAAACTAAAATGTATGAAATTTTTGTTTGCCAAATTATAGTTGACAGCTTAAGATATCATATCTAAAAAATTAAGTTATATCTGATGGTTAATTTGTTGAACCCCCCCCTCCCCCACCCCACCCCCGCCTCCTTAAAATGATGAAAAATTACCTGTGAGTTTCAGAGATCTTTCCTTGTGAGAAAATTTAATTTTGAAAAAAAAGAATCGCTAAATGATTTATCAGATTTGACCATTAACCTCAGTTTTTGATATTTTTGATCTTTTGGTGAAAACGTGAGTCTATATCCTATCTATAAAAGTTAACAAAAGTTACAAGGGTTGTTTACTACCCACAATGTAAGTTGATGCAATGAGAGACGACAGTTGTACCTGCAAAGTTATACATGGTCTACAAGGCGAAAAGAGACAGGTAAAACAAAGTTGTACAGGGAATTTAGTGTGATTACTTCCGGTGCAATGCTATATAATAATATATTTTATTCCCATGCATGTCATTTGCATTGCAAATAAGGCTCAATTACATGGTGTAAAGGCTCAGATATACAGAGTTTATCCCCAGCTGACTTCTTTTCATATACATGAGAACATTATTTTACTTTGTTCTCAGACATAAGTAAAAACATTTTATTTTTAAGCAAGATGAAACCTTTCCTTTAATCAGCAAATATTTCCCGCACGTATCATAATATTATCAGGCGTTGTGGAAGTTTGTCCCATTCAGTAGCTTAGAGAACGTGGATCAATCGTTCCTGAAGCGTATAAAGACTAGCAAAGAAGTTTGACCAACTCTATGACTTCTTATTAGATCCTGAGTCCTGTTCCCTTCTCACATAAAATCTATAAGATAAAAAATTTGACTACTCTCTGTCTTTATATATCTATATATCTATATCTATATATATATATATATATATATATATATATATATATATATATATATATATATATATATATATATATATATATATATATATATATATATATATATATATATATATATATATTTGTTTAATAAATATATCCATTTTCCCCCCAAAATGTAATTTACTATGTAATGTAATGTAATAGAAATACTGATTTTAATAGAAACAACCATCATATTTTTTTGCATGATTTTGCATAATCAAAGAGTTAAAGACAATTAATTGTCTGTTTGTTTTGCTAGCGACATTTAATTTAAAAAAAAGTTTGATATTCACTATTTACTCTGAAGTCAGATGCGCGAAGACTTCCAAATATATCCAAAAACGGTCGGCAAAAGTCCAAAAAGACGAGGCAACAGTCGATTACTTGCGTATTACCCAAATTAAACCATATATAGTGAAAATATTCATAAACAACAACAAATCGTACGTTAAAATAGCTGCTAACATTTCAGCAGTAGCGCGACTAACTTCTAGATTTCTCACATATATTTTTATGGTGTCTCACAATATATAACTATGTCTTAAATTTCAAAAAAATGTCATTGAATAGTTATAAAAATACAGCCAGACTGAGTAAATAACAAGCCAATCAGAATTCAGCAAATCTGCATGTATGGCCTTACATTCAATTTATGATATATTATATGTAGGCCTAAAGTTGTAAACACTATTCAACGCTATCTGCGATTGTGTAAAAAAAAATCCTTTTTGGTGATCGTCTTCGGCCAATCACCATAGATTCTATGTGAGGCGTTCAGCAAATATAACCATTTGTACACACAGGACACGACGGACTAGTTTGTTTAATTATTATGCACCAGCTTCATGTAAAAAAAATAATTGGCCAACGCGTCTGCTAAAAATTCTATAATTAACAATGTGTTAAGCTTGTTGGTTACAAATTTAATTAACACTATTCTTTTTACAGGAATTTATTACTTCCTTTCATTCTACAACAAATTCATATAATTCTTTTCCTTGTGCTAGTTTGGATTCTTATGTTAAATAATTTTGACAGCAGTGTTTTGACACAAATTGATTCGAGACCGTCTTATGTGACAAAAATGCAAACAACACAATTCGGTTAAATTCAGAGGTAAAATTAGATTTCAACATTAATGATTAATAACATTATCTTAAAAGTTTCATGATTTTCATTGTTAAAAATTTTGACATTTGAGCAAGCCAAAGAGAGAGTGGAAAAGCGAAAACATATTACATCGTAGAATTTTCTCCCTAGTCATTCTTAGGAGTCCTGCATATGACGTCACAGACCATGGAGTGCGATTCTTGTCTTGAAATTGTATTGCATAATTCAAATTTCAGACTTAATAGCCACAAACTTATAATTTTCATATCATTTCCTTTTATAACCCATCATGATAAGAAAGAATTGATTCATAATAAAAACTAGAACACTATGTGATAAAAGCCCTCTATCGATCAGCATTAATTGGAAGGAGGGAATTTTTCCTCCTTGGCTTAATCTATGTAATAAATTAAAAAGAAATATAAATACAGTCAAGACACGTAAATACGGAAGCTTACGTTCTTGAGCAAATTGTTCGGATTAATTAAATATTTGGATTCATGAAAAATAAATTTTAAAATTGGTATTTTTAAATCAAATTTCATCTCTAACAAATTTCGCCCGGAAGGTGGAATTTCAGGATTTATATAACTGGCGTTAAGATGAAGCTTCCTGCCTATATTTTACATACGCATATTCTCAAACGTTTGGCAATTCTTCCATTTAGTTTCTTGGATACTACGTAAAAAGTGTCAGTCTAACTTCTTTTTTTTTTTTTAAAAAAAAGGTCATTGTAAGTCACTTTCTAAAAATAATCGTTTTATTAAGCGTCTTATTATTTTCTTATATCAAAAATTTTTGTCATTAGATTTTACCAGATTTGCATATTTCTTTTATTAACGATTTTCGACAAGGACTGGTAAGTGTAAATTTTTTTATTGATATAATGAAATATAAAGTAATCATGCCCAAAAGTCCCAATTAAATAATACAAATTGTGAGCGGAGCAAGAAAGGGCCACTGTAAATCTCAGTTTCCATGAAGGAGTTACAATCCCCTGACGTCGGTCACAGCACCCTTGTCATGATCGGGTTAACGGAGAAATCCGCAGACATGCTTTACAATTTGTATGAAAAACGTCAGACAGCATGCGTCCACATAACGACAAATTCTAACAAGGTCATTGTATCGACAATATTATTTTTGAAAGTTGTCATGTTAATAATTAGTAAAATATGTTTAAATAATGTAAAATTAACCATATTAGAATCTAAAATTAAAGTCTTATAGTTTTAAGAAACTGATTAACAATTGACTGTTTCGCTGTATTTTGGTCTGTAAATATTCCCTCCCCTCCCCGAACAACAAAACATTTGGTTATGAATTTGCCAAGTACTGGTAACAATTTGTAATATCTGTAGAAAGAATCTTTGTGAGTAATGTTTTGAAAATATTTTACGTTTTAAATTGACTGAATTACTGTAAAACCACTCATTTTATCAGGGTCTGTTTAATCTTTTACACATGACAGGACATGAATCCATAACATGAATTCAACCAAAATTAAACTCCACAAAATTAATGATCTCACAGCACTCAAGTTTAACCAAAATCACACTGAATAGCAAAATTATTTCTTTCTTCTTACAAATATTTCAAAATTAGATAAGATTATATAAATAGATATCTATACTTTTTTAAAATCATGACAACTCTAACATTGATTTGGAGGTAGGCGGAAAACAATGCTATCATTGGTAGTTTTTCTGTCAACTTTCATATACTCGTACTTCAGAACCTCAATAGAAATATTGCCAAAACATATCCCTGAAACTGTCAATTACCTTTAATTCTGCATATAGCTACACGTTAAGTTATCAGTTAACAAAAGACACGTTTTGCATAAATTTTTCAATCCTTGCACAAAAAATATAATAATATATCCGGATAGCCTTGGGGAAGATGTTGGTAAAGAAATACATGAGTTGATATTGTTACATGGAAATATAGACAGGGTAATACTCTTCCTCTTAAACATTCGTTGTCATTTATTTGACAAACTAATCTGTTCACAATCTGAGAAGAGTTTTACAACAAACGTTTACACGCTTTTAGATCAACGGCTTTTGTTTTCTTTTATGATTTATCAGGTAAAAAGGAGCACAATGTATTACATAATGAATTCTAATAGGAATCATTTAGTAACAGTTCCCTCAAACCACTATATTCGTTCTCATAAGTGGTTAGTTTGGTTGTCGTTATGAATTGAGTGCTTCTTTTACCTGTATATAAACATTTTCTAAGATAGATGAAAAAACTCAGCAATATAAAGCACTTAATAAACAAATTTTTATTCACTTCCTGCAAGAAAATTAACTTAGCTGCAGTTTTCAACAGATAGGTTTCACGGTGTATTTTGTGATCAGTGATTTACAAATAAAGATGTCAACCTGGTCAAGTATTTCAATTCACTTTCAGGATAATTTTATCAACGTAAAAAAGGCCTATGCTTTTGCAAAATGTTTTTTTCCCATGTTTATCTGAAAATGAGCACGAAACTTGTTTTTCTATGCAGATACCCGGGTTATAACAACATATACATATTTTGCGTGTGGAC